GGAAATGAAGCTGCCTTTTTTGTTATCCTTGAACCAAATGTAGAGAGGACTCTGTCGTGTGAACGTACTCCTTAAATCTCTTTACACGCTGGTTTCAAAACGCTAAAGTTAACGGAGGTTCAGTGGCCGAAGTGAGTAAATTGTTTTGAATTGAATCTTCGCCAGTACCATTAACTTACTTTATTTAAAACTCCTTTATTGCGCAAAACTTCAATGCAGCTAATCTGCACCACCTTAAATCGATTCCTCGGTTCCGGCTTTTTTCGGATGATTCTGGAAGCAATAAGCCCCCAAAGTAGCATCTAGCTGTTTTCATTTAACTCAGCCGATGGAAATGTCAGATTCTGTTTGGCTTAGATTATAACTTTGCCAACTAGAGTATCTTACTGNTGTAATACCTTCCAGGAGGGTCTGCAATTAATCCGGTCTGCAGAGCCCAACCCGCCCTTACATTATGCATTTAAGAGTCGACTTAACATAACATTTCAATAACATAATACAGTGAAAATGAAATCATTTCTACAGAAATTTGATATTTTTGGCTTATTTGCGTGACAGAAGGTGATCTCTAGATGTGATTTCTTGTATGAACTGGATTGACTACTTTGTTTCATCCAAGGCCTCTCGCAAAGTCCCAGATAAAAAAACGGTTGTTAATATTTCGGTGCAGTGGGCCTCTCGTCTTGACTCCAAAGTAAGTGTAGTGTCGTCGTGTTACTCACGTGATTTTTAAGTTTCGAGATCCGCAACATCTGCGCGCACCTAATACATTCTAATATCACGTCAATTTTTGAAACAGATGATTTCACTAGCTTTCCTATTTCAATCTAGTTTTCCTGGTATTCTTAACACTTTTAAGGTTTATGTTCGCTGAGTAACTCCTAATAAAACACTAAAGTATTTAAACTTAACCCTTTTTCGTGGGTCACTGCCGGTGTTTGGCTTAAAGTACCGCAAGGTTGAAATTGAAAAAGGAAAATTCCCCCTCACTTGGCTTGTACCTGACCAATAGATGACCTTCGGAATTGTAGCTATACACAAAGTCGCGTATTTTGTTCGCTCTTTCTACATTTGTGTCTGGCCAGCTGTGTCCGAAAGTTACTCGTCTCTAACTTAAGACGTGGGTATGTTACTCCCATGTCACTCATGGTACTCGTGTATCGTTTTAGTTCAAAATCGGCAACATGATACCTTTTCTGCTGCACGTATCTGATATGTTCGAATATGATGGCAATTTTTGATGCAGAAGATGTAACTACCATTCCCATTTCAATCTAGCTTTCCTGGTATTTTGTTGCACTTTTAAGTTCTTTTTTTTCGTTCAATAATTTTTAATAAAACACGAGGGTATCTATTAGATCAATTTTAAAAGCATGAATGAAAGAGACAAAGCCATAGGATTTGGCATGAAAACGAACAGCCAGATCGCAGAGGCCCTGCAACACACCATAGCGGAGGAAAGTCAAACAGAAAGCTCTGATATGAACGTCAGACGGGGGTAACGTTTACAAATTCACTGAGATTCACGACATGAAAGTATCAAACGGAAGAAAATGTAAATAGTCTGACAATCATTCCTTGATTCCCTCCATATGAAGAGGCGAAGAATTTGCGCAGCAGGTTTTGTATGTTGCCCCACTTTAGAAGTAACTACCGGGAAAATAATGTCCTGAGACATTTTACTTTCGTTTTCATCAAAACATTGTGACCATTTTGGACCACTTTAAAAATGCATTTTAATGTGTAGATTTCAGTAATATTTTAATTATGAATAATATTTTAATTTTGCTTGTTTTTTTTTTTTTGTTTGTTAGCGCCGTGTTTGATCTGAGCATAGGGTGCACTTGTTACTCCTCAAGCTCTTGAAAACTGATTCATATTCTGCTCACCTGTATTTGTGCTACTTTTAGGGAGAAAGACAACCGAATCTTTTAATAATATTATAAGTGCGCATGTTTATTTAAGCTACACCTAAAATGCATATTGAATTTCTCGCAACTTTCTAGCCAGTCATATGCCAAAACGCAATCCCTTTCTTACAGTTATCAAGAATGGCACTGCACAAAGCTGCAATCCACGGTCGATGTGACGTCGGGAAAGTACTTCTTGAAAGTGGTGAAGATGTCGACCAAACAGATAAGGTTGTTTGCTTTAATATCTGGTTTTTCCAGTCTACTTTCTAGTTTCTCTGTTCTTTCCTTTCTATTTAGATATTCCTAGTTGATAGATTAAACTTGTAATCAATGCTTTGCTTATATTTTTCAGTTTGGTTTGACGGCTCTTCACCTTGCCGCATGGTATGTACAGAGAGCTGGTGTAAAACTCTTGTTACAGCACGGTGCAAATATCAATGCTGTAGATACGGTAAGTTGCTTGCCCCTACTGTTTGTTTATTTGACAAAAGATCGAAAATATCAGCATCATTAATGCTTATTAATTATCAGGCATGCTGTTTGATTTTCCAGAGTCCCATGACGTCTCGTGAATTCTCCTCAGTCGTTTTTCCCCATGTCCAAGAATGCAAGAACGCTCGTCTTCCAGAGCAGTTTACAGTAACTGTCTTGTTTTGACCGAAGTGAACTTTTTATCCTAAGTTTCAAAAAACCGCCAAACAAAAAGCTGAACGCAACAACCACCGAGCCACAGTTAGGCTGCTCTTGAAGAATGAAGCGAGTCCCAGTTACAACCAACCAGTACGGTAATGTATTATACTACTTCCATGATTTGTAGCCGCACAAGGTGGAAACAGAAATCAAGCAATGTGCGTGGTGTAGTTTTTCTCCAAGTCTTCAGCTCTCCGACCCGCTTTGCAAGTGTTATTTGATCCTTTTATTTCCCGTTGTGTTCATTTGTCTCGGTTTAACCCTCCAACTCCAAGAAGAGATTAACATGTAACTTCCCCCTATAATGTCCATGCAGTATCCACCAAACGAGTTCTGGGAATACTCAAGGTAGTTGTTATCTTGATCTAATTACAACTTGTCGTAACCAATTTATAAGGAAACGTTTAGCAGCTAGCGGAAAAATCTTGGGAGATAAAGGGTTAATTGCCTTGCATGGCTTTCAGCAAACAACAGTTAAAAATAATATCAACCGTTCCAAAAACGAAGCGCTAAATTTATAAAATTCTCGCATTTACGAAACCCGTCCGATAGATTTACCTGGCTGAATTGTTGTTTACCAGAATTTACGACCAGAAAATTAAGTAGCTTTCTGTAGAAAATTCTGAAAATTTTATCATTTCAAAACATTGAACACTCTTAGGACATATGAACACTTCAAACTATTTACTGCTCCAATAGAGAATCCCCAACGTCGCAAAGCCTCAATTTAGGTCAGAAAGCTCAACTTTGTTTCAGCCATAATTCGTATCGCGTTTGGGAATAAAGTATTGTCAACTCCAAAACTAATGGCAGATATCAGATCTGAGCCCGCGTAAAAGCGGTTTTGTCTAAAGATGCTCGGAATCGAGGCACTTGGGCCAAAGGCTTTGTAAATTCTCAAAGGTATCACTGTATATTTCAAATCAACTCGCATTTTACGCTATTTTTTACTTTTATCGAGAATCTGAAGCATTCAAAAGGCAAAGATAGCAATGGTTAGACAATGTATTGCATTTGGATGCCCGGAGCGATAAAGCACATTGGAAGCATCTTTTGTGGCATTCACTGCCACTGCCGGAGCAACAAGAAACTTCTGGCGACTTGGCTAGTCAAGATTAAACGGGAAAACACGCCCGTAAGTAATAATTCCTTTTATGCAGTGAACATTTTGAAAAGGAAGACTTTTCCAAGTCATATGCTGTCCGGAAAGTAAGTCTTAAGTCAGACTCAGTTCCGACAATATTCAGTTTCTCCGAGCAGAAAACAAAAAGGAAGGCTCCGAAGGAAAGACGCTCGATTGATGATGACTTTCCGGCCAACTTATTTGCAGTGTGGTTTATCGCTCCGGTTGTTGCATCCTGATTTCAATACAATATCTAACCATTGCTACCTTTTGAATGCTTCAGATTCTCGATAAAAGTAAAAAAGTAGCGTAAAATGCTAGTTGATTTGAAATATAAAGTGATACCTTTGAGAATTTACAAACCCTTTGGCCCAAGTGCCTTGATTCCGTGCATCCTTAAACAAAACCGCTTTTACGCGGGCTCAGATCTAATATCTGCCATTTTGTCGCTTGAAAGAACTACAAGCTCATTGTTCTTCGAAACGAGTATCATTCAGCACATTTTCTTTTCATTGTCAACTCCAAAAGTTCGTTCTCAGTCGGGATGGAGTGGTAAAAAATCTTAAAGGTTTTGAAACCTCGCGGCTAAACTCGGCAGGAATTTTCAACCGAAGTGAAACTGTATACGTCATGTGATGGATACGCGGCCGAGCAGCACTTAAAGACAGGGTAGTAGCACCTTAAGAAATAGGTAGGACTTGCGCACGCGCTATGTTATAAAAAAATGAGTAGACATCCTATTTTTAAGATTATTGACCTACCGGGAGTCAAGAGGGAAAGAAAGCAACTAAATGAGGATTTTACGAATAAGTGCAATGTAGCCTCCTCCTCTGAAATCTGTGTGGAACTCGTCGCGATAAATCATAGTTGTATCAGTGTAATACAAGACAGAAATATTTAACATTAAAATAATCTGATTATCTGAATAAATTTAAAATGATTTACTCATATGTAATTATAAGGGATATTTTCACTTAACACTATCATTTGTTTCAACCATTTACTGTGCATTATTTTCCATTTCAGCATAGCCTGAAATCCCTATCAAGGAAAGCTTTCCTGCAAGAAGATGCACGATCCGGCTTCAATCGACTGACAGCGGCTGTATTTCATGGTGACCGTGACACAGTTTGGAAAGCTCAATGCTACCTCGAGAACCATGTTCAACACATGAATTTTCAAGAAACCAAGTGAAGGTATTTCCTGGAAAAACTGCGTTAGAAATTCTCTTTTCCCTCCAAGAAAAAGGAGAAGAACATGTTAGAATAAAAACAATGTACCAACAGCACGTTGAAAAGATTGATACATTAAGTGAGCTACACTTATGTAGAGGTAGCAATGACGCAGAGAAGGCTGTGGAGATTGTTCTAAACGAGGGAATAGAGATAGACATTCCAGGACAAAGCAACCGTACACCTTTAATGTGGACAAGTGCATCATCCTCTAGTGAGTTTATCCAGACCCTCATTGATCTTGGAGCTCAGGTAAGTACTCAGAGACCAGCAGACAATGTTACGCCTTTAAATGTGGCAGTTGTTAACAACAATTATGTGGCCGTTAAAATTCTCTTTTATCACGGAGCTAAAATGGGCCTTCAAGATAATTATGGAGACCTACCACTGCACGATAGTGCTAGGAGGGGATTTTTTAATGTCTCCAAACTATTAATTGATTCAGGTTGCGACATCAACATGAGGAACAACAACGAAGAAACCCCGCTCTACGTGGCAGTCGAAAATAAACATGTTCACTTAGTCAAATGTCTTCTTGAAGGCGGCGCTGATGTGAATATGAAATACTGCAAGGAGAATGAATGAGGACGAATTTTCCTTGTTCGTGGGAAGGACAGAACCGGAAAACTGGCCTGGAATTATGTTNTATGAAAGTAGCAAAGGTGTAGGCCAGTATTGGACCAATGTTGTTTTAATGCTGGCTATGAAAGCAGCGAAGGTTTAGGTCGGTATTGAAGGGAGAAGAGTGCCTGTGGCTCGTGTAATTGACCATTTCATTTCAACTTCAAACCACATGAGAGATAATTGTAACGAGCATTAATTGCTGCGTAAAATGATTTTTCATTTTACCCATGGGGCAAGTTATAAGTACATTAATACTTAATTTCGCTCTTAAGAATCAGTAATGACAAGAAATATTAGGGGAAAATTCAATTCAAAATAATTCTAACGTCAAACTCTTTCTGAGCGAATTTTCGATCTTGATCCTCAATTTCTTCATCTTTGTAACTATTTCTAGAAAAATGATTGTAAATTGACAATCGAGACATATTTCTCTTACACAAAGAGATGATGAATAAGTAGAGCTAAAATGTATCTTAGCTTCCATATAAAATCACAGAATTCAAAATTACATAGCACTTTAATTTTTCCCATGGCCATTTTGTTCACCTTCTGCGGGGCCCTTAGACATTTCTGTTGCATAAATTGTGACATGTACAGCTCAAAAAAGACATCCTTTCTTTCTTCTGTTTTATCTAAGAGGATTAAACAGTCTCTTCCCGCCTAATATTCTATATCAAGTGTTGCTATATAAAAAAGAATCCAATCAAATTACCTTTTGGTAACCGTGTTTTATGAACTCGTAACTAGAGTTGTAAATTTAGTGTATTCGTTTATCGATCTACCGTAAAAATCTCAGCTAAAAAAACACGTGTCGTGAAATATATACAAGTAATTTGATGATAATATAGAAACCGGAAAATCAAGATGAAATCATATACGATCTGTACAAACAAAACAAAACTCGTGATAAATGTTACATAACAATCATGATGCGTGACTGTTTGTGACACCGTGTCAGTTGCGGTTGAAACTGCACCAGTTTGCTGAATAATAACCAAGCCTCCCTGTAGTCCTGTATACGCAGACTGCCCAGGCTGAATGTACATCACCTGTTGATTGGTTACCGTCTAAAACACATTAGTAAAAATGATAAATTTCAGGCAAACAATAGGTGAGATATTTTCATGAGACTAGTATTTAATTGGTATGTATCTGCATTTTCTATTGACGCTAAAAGATTCACCGACCCCAACCGCCTATCATAAAGTAATGACCGTCCCTTACTCGTATGAATCCGTATCTTCCCGTATGTCAATCTAAGACTTCGTTTGTTATTTTTAAGTCACCCGAACAAATCGCGTAATGTGAAATCCGCTTTCGACATCACGCGAGTTGTTCGGCTGATCTTTTTTTCACATAGGAACATAATGTCGTCGTTGGTGCCCCGTGTATCGGATAAATTCGAATATGACGTTATTGTCTAATAGGGATTTTTTTTAATTTTCTAATTCAGTCTACTTTTCTTGGTTTTAATTCGTTTGTCTATTTCTATCCTAACATGAAGTTATCGAAAGTCACCTCATTTTTTAGGGTAACTTAATTCCTACCTAGCTTTGAATTATACAAGGCTCAAATATGTTGTTCAGAAAGGGACTTTCCCGTTGCTAAGGGCGTATTGACCTTTCGATTCGTGACACTGCACAATTTCTTATGTTTTACTCGCCATTTCCACACTTCAATACACGCACGAAGGTTTTGGCGTATGAAGAAGCAGTGGTAACTCGTGGATATTTGTATCCAAGCCTTTTGTTTGCAGCTTCAAACTTATCAAGATATTTCTCAGTTTAACTTTTATTTTAAGGTAGGTTTGCCAGCTTTTCCTAGGTCGTCGTGAAGATTCAAAACAACTTTAAGCGAAGCGTNCTTTTCTCTTAGGAGCACGTGCTCGACTTGCTTGCGCTGGTCTTAGATTTGCCTTCAGTGGATCGGGAAATTCGGCTGTTGGACCTTTTTCGCCAGGCCAGTGAAGAGCACAAATATAAGTGTTTCTTGTTATGTTTTTCTCCGTAAAAAATTCACGCGAACAAGCCACTAGCCAACGCTTGCACTTTGCCATGTCTTGCGAAGGTTTTGGGAAAGGAATAAATACTTTCTTCCCCGATTCCTCTAACTCTTTCAGTGATTTTGGCCATTTATCTGCATATTTTGAGTCTGTCTTACACTCACCCCAACAACAGCGTTCGGTACCAACCATGCCGCTTCCTTTTAGAACGCTAAGTCGTTTTTTGCCGAAATTTTCCGTCGTTTTGTTTCAATTTTACAACTCTCGCTCACACATTTCCTTTAAGCTGGTCGCAATGTTTGTCTGAGTCTGTGTGGGGGGTCTCATAGGCTATCATGTAACAAAATCTATTTTTAGTAATAGTATAAAGCGCTATTGAGTATGTCGTTTGTTTCGTGTGACACTGTAGTTATAGAATTAAATGGATCTTGAGATTTATGAATCTTCCAATGCATAATTTCTTATGGTCTCGTTTGTTTAACTTCATTTACACCCCCTTGGCCAAAATCCCCCATATATTTGCCATCTGAATGTTATACGAGTAAGTTGGCCCTTGACATTTGATGCAATCGTGATTCAAAACTCTCTGCTTAACCGTAAATGTTGAGCTGCAACTGTAGCATATAATGTAATCCCTCTGATAACTTTCTTCAAGTAATGACTTATCCCTCAGTTTTTTCTCTATTTCCAATTCATGGAAACTTTCTGCCTTTATTTCGTTAGGTTAAAACTTACAGTACCTCCGTTTGCCGAGATACCTTCTTTAATTATGTGTATTTTTCGGATCCTATCCAGAGTTCATTTCATTGAGCAACAAACTTTGTCACCATGGATGTCCACAGCAACGATAAAAGATGGCTTGTGACTCTTGTTGCCTCAAATAAGGTCGTGGCCCCAGTTTTACAGGACATCGTAAAACAAGGAATGGAAAAGCTGTATGCTGCCCTGGATAATTGCCTTAATGGCTTACCGACACCTTGCGGTTTACAAACACTGACCCATGCGGAGGTATGCCACCTGGCAGCCATCCCAAGTCTCGCTTCTTCATTTAAAGACCTAAATTTTGGAAATATTAACAACAATTCTGGTATCCATGGTAAGAGCAAAGGGGTCTACAACTACAATGTAAGCAGTCCAGTTGATCTTGCTAAGCTGTACCTCCCCTGCTACCTTACGGTATTCTCGGCATTTGACAAATCTATGGATTTGAGTGCCGCTCTTAGACTTTTGGGATATAGGAAGTATCCCATTCAAATATTCGCGTCTTCTGACCCTTTGCACGATATTCAGTCACTGGCAGATGATGTCAGAGTGAATGTCAGGAATCGGGGAAGTCATTTTAACGAGAGTGACTGGACCCAAATCGTTTTTGACCAGTGCTTTGACAAGTTAAGGGCTCTGCTTCAATGTCTGTCCCTGCTTCCCGACAAAAAAAAGGAGCTTTTGGATGAACTTTCTGCATGGAAAACAGAAGGTAAGAAAGACGTCTCAAGTAGTGTAATGTTATCATTCAATAAATAGCTGGTTAATAAATTGGAGTTTTCCTTGTGCCAATCTGGTCGTTGTAAATAAGTAAGCGGAAAAATGTACTCAGAGGAGCCTGCTTCAGTAATATAAAGTAGAAACTTTCTTATTCATACTTCAAATGTCAGGTCTACAGTGACAAGATAAGGCATTTCCTCTCACCAGTTACCTCATCTTAGCATAGTCATCATCATCGACATCACCGTTGACAATAATATTATTGCTATAGTATTATCATTATTACCATCATTTATTGAATGGTCATCATTTTTAGGTTTCAAGCGGGTTGTTGACAATGATGTTAAAGATCTACTGGAAAAGTTCCAAAACGTCAAACTTGCTTCAATTCATGACAAATTGGACGACATGCCAACTAAGGATGAGAACGAAAGAGTGATAACAAAGCTGTTTTCCTTTCACACCAGTATGATGGACAGATTAGATAGAATGGAATCCAGAATGGAATCCTTTTTTCGAAACTTTGGGCACAGGTTAGACGGTAAGTTTCTAACAACTATTGCTCGCAAATAGTGAAATTCCAGTGAAAAAAGTAAGAGAGGGCACTAACTCTTCCGGCCGCTCACCATTTTACTCGCACAAGCGCGTAAATTTTCCAGGAGCACTCGCGAGCGAATCGGGGACCATGTGGTTAGGTACTCTGTAATAAATTGTTATTGATAAAGGCTAATAGTTTGTAAAGAAACTGTTTGAGGCTGCGCGGGAGGGGGTAACGGAATAATTTGGATATATCAACAAAGTTGAAATGGTAAATTGGCCACCGTAACGATTACAAAAGCTGACGTTTATTGTTGTGTTGCAAACGTGTACAGTTTTGCTCATTGATCATTGGCACAAGTAAGAGTCCTAATTGTTCTTAAATATTAGTTGTCTCTGACTGGTAGTTACCCTGTCTCTTTTTTGTCGGTAAGGCTTCATTCAGAATTTTTATATTGCGAACAGAACAAAGTAAGCATAGAAACTCATCAACCATGCATCGGTTTTTATACGAACCACTTGTCCGATTTTTAAAATTTTTTTTTTAACCCAGTTGCATTTGTATAACTATGTAGGCAGCAGGGTCAGTGCTCTAAATCAAGAAAGTAGCAGGAGAGTTCACAATACAGAATCCAGTGTTCTATCCACAGACGCAACTTCCACAGAAACATGTAACATGAACGAAAAGGTAACGTAATCTAGTCGCTGATATATACAGTTAAACACTTAGGAGCTCTTAGAGATTAGAAAAACATGACTTATTCATTGTGGTTGATATGGAAACTAGAGGTCGCTCGGTTTCCCACGGCTGGAGCTCATGTTGCTAAAAAATGCAACATTGCCTTATTTAGAATGTACACGGTACAGGGGAATAAAAAAAGAAATGAAAATTGAGAATGAGGATGCCCCAGAATCGCCCCAGAAAAAGCCAGAAGCAAACAAAAGAAAAACATTGGAAAAATTAAAAACAAAATTAATCTATAAGTAGAACAAAACAAGAACAAATTAAAACGAACAAACGAACAGAGAGCATTGCAAAAGGGATTGTAATTCAGAGAAGAACTGTTAGAGGTGTTAGCGACCTTATGGAAGTCTTCATCATTTGACTTTAATACGTCTTAACTTTACGGGAGTACAAACTGATTTATTAGTCATCCTAATTACTTCGAAAATCGGGGCGATCAGGAACCATACGGAAACTAGGACGTAGAGGGGGTATGATATACCTATGACGTTGGAAATTTTTCCGAATGAAATTGTTGAAATTTGTTGACTCTTAAGTTGCCATTTTTCCTGCAGTACAAGAACCCAGAATCGACCTGCAAGCTAAGAGCTAAAGTTGCCAAAGTAAGTCAGTTACTAAATTGACTGAAATTTTTATGATGAAGACGCATTAAAACTTTGGTTTTTTCGTTCCTTCACTCGTGACCGTCATATATCTCCTAATTGCACATTCATTTCATAAATTAGTTTAAGAGTCAACACAAGATGATACGGCTAGGATAAACCGATCTAAACAAAACCTTTATCATAACAGGCTGAAAAGAGGAACTCATGTTTCACATATGGAAGGAAATTTTAATTGCTTCGTATATTCTTTGTATACAGTAACTGTACTCAAATCCTTTTTCTTCTTGGATAGCGCACTGACATAGATCTGTTGTGTAAGTCGCCCTACTTCAACTGTTATATTTGGATGTTGGATTTCCTCATAACATTTTTTCTCTAAATTTCATCGAATCAAATCATTTATTCTCTGCAATATGTGTATGGGGTAAGAGCTTTACGTAAGCTTTAATCTTCCGATGGTTTTTTTGTAGTGAGCAATGATTGCTCTTGTCATGCTTCTAATTCCTGACAATATGCATCTACTCTTCTCTTTTGCACTTGCGTTACGTTTCAAATGGCCCTCTCAATAATAAAAAATTGTTTTTTTAGCATAACGGTGCATTCAAGGTGATATAAAAGAAAACCCTTTTTTTTACAGTTATCAAGACGAACACTACACAAAGCTGCAATCGGCGGTCGATGTGATGTTGTTCAGTTACTTCTTGAAATTGGTGAAGATGTGGACACAATGGATGAGGTTTCCCGCTTGATTTTACGTCTAAATGTGTGCTATTTTACTTCCTTTGCTTTCTCAATTGATAAGCATATAACCTTTATCTATTACTTTGCTTTGATTTTGCAGTTTAAGCTGACGCCCCTTCACCTTGCCGCATGGTACGGGCAAAGAGCTGTTGTAGACCTCTTGTTAAAGCACGGTGCAAATGTCAATGCCGTAGATAGGGTAAGTTGGTGACCAGTCGTGTCTGTGTTTTGGCAATGCGTCACATATATAAATAAAAAATTTCAGGCAAGCGATTTGATATTGCAAAGACTGTCGAAAGTTCTCGAAATATTTTTTCAATAAATCGTTTATAGCGTTCAGGAATGCTCATCTATTGATTTCGAATAACTTTAACATTTTGACCTTTGAGAACTTTTCTCTTTCAGTTTCAAAAAACAGCGCTACAAAAAGCTGAACGGAACAATCACCGATCCATTGTTCAGTTGCTTCTGAGGAATAATGCAAGTCCCAGTTACAACCAACCGGTATGGTCAAACTGTATGCTGTCTTCTTCTATGATTTGTAACTGTAGTAAAACATCTTTCAATGCACAGCGCAAGATCGGGTTAAGAGATTAAGACTTAGTAAATGCTTCTTTTCATTAAGGCTGTTTACTACCAGTTCGTATGTTTGCTGCACGGCTTCTCTGTTATGGTTTCGCATTTTTTCTGTGAATACCAACAAACAGTGCATACGTTTTATTGTCCCATGCGCGTGGTTTGGTCCGGCGTAACCTTAAGGACTTTATTTATAGAGGGGGACACATAACAGCTGTATAGCTGACAAACCTGTGGCCCTCTAACTAGATTATACAACATTACAAAAAACTGATAAATAAATAAATATATAAATAATTACAAAATTCTATAATAAAAATAGCAGGATAGATTAAAAATATGGAGAAAGATAAAATTAATTTATAAAAAATTAAAATTAGATAATGTACTATTGCTTAATATTGTTTCAAAGTTGTCCAGGTTTTTAGATGAGCTTATAAGATGCTTTTTCACTGCTGTTTTGAATAGTTTTACACTAGGCTTATTTTTGATATCATGGGGAAGGCTGTTCCATAACTTAACTGCGTCAACACTGAATGCCTTGCCACCATCGTTATTTCTTAGGTATTTGGGACACACTAAATTTAAATTGCCATGTCTAGTAGATCTATTGTATACAGAACTGTTTGTCTTGAGCAAGTCTCTGATGTAAATCGGAACATCGCCTTTAAGGCTCTTAAAAATCATTGTACGTTTATTTCATTTGATTTCATCAAAAAAAGGCAACCAGCCTAGTGTACTAAAGTTTACAACACTTCTAGAATAAGAGTCCACTCCAAGAATTACTCGGGCAGCCCTTCTCTGTAACCTTAGGAGACAGTGGAGTTCTTTAGCGTCACAAATATTCCAAACCATGCTCCCGTACATAAGGACGGGTTTAATCAAGGCGTTATATTATAAGAGTCTTTCCTTTATTGGAAGGTATATCTTTATCTTTTTCAATAAACCAATACGCTAGAAAGGTTGGCCTTTAGGCTAGAAATGTGGTCACTAAATGTAAGATCTTGATCGAGTGTTACACCAAGCAATTTATAAGAGGTTACTTGTTCTATTTCGGCCCCATCAAGGGTCACTGACAGGTGATTGCCATCAACTAATGATGAATGTAGCCTCTTTCCGGTGATAAGTAATGCTTTGGTTTTAACGGCGTTTAGGACCATCCCATTTTCGCTAGACCATTTACTTAATTTATCCATGTATTCTTGAAGACGTCGTTCCAATTCCAAAGGTGCATTATCGATATTAGCGCTGGCTTTAAATGTGGTGTCATCCGCGTAGGCATGAATTGAGTCCGATCCAACAGCTTCGGGAAGATCATTGACGAACATTAAAAATAGTAGAGGTCCTAATATGCTACCTTGAGGAACTCCATTGGTTAGCATAAGTTGTGACGAAGTCGAGTTATTTACAGTAACACACTGTTTGCGATTGAGTAGATAGCTCTGCAATAGCTTTACAACATTATCTGGAAATCCATATGATCTTAACTTTACCAGGAGAATGTCATGATTGATCAAGTCGAATGCCTTGCTATAGTCCACAAAAACTAAGCCGCTGACGTTGTTCTTATCAAGGTCAAGAAGGACTTGGTCCAGAAGAAACAACAAAGCAGTATCCGTGGAGTGGTTTTTACGGAACCCTGATTGGAAGCGGTATAAAAGTGAATTTTCTGTTAAGTAGGTGTTCACAGCATTGAAGATGTGTCTTTCAAAGACTTTAGAAAGAATAGGCAAAATACTAATAGGACGATAGTTTTGAATATCTTGCTTGTTTCCTTGATTCTTGAATAGAGGTTTAACCTTTGCTATTTTCCATTGTGAGGGAAATGTACAAGTTTCAATACAGTGATTTATAATTTTAGCTATGGAGCATGATATTTCAGGAGCTGCAATCCTTAGAACTCTGGCACCAAGCCCATCGATTCCCGTGGCTTTGTGTGTAGGTATACTTAGAAGATAATCGTTAACCTCACTAGGAGTTATTTGCGGAATAAGATTCTCAATTTGACTGTTAGATTTGTCTGGTGGACCAGGAAGAGCATCATAATGAAGTACAGGTGCCGCCTTTATGAGACGTTTATATACATCAACGAAGAAGCGGTTAAAGCGTTCAGCGATTGAATGGTCATCCTTTATCAAGTTGTTGTTTTCGTCAGCAATAGGGACGGAGTCGTCGTTATTCTTTGTATCTTTAGATAGGTCTTTAATTAAAGACCAAAGTTTCTTTGGACATTTTTGATTTTTACTGAACTGAGTTTTAAAGTACTGTTCCTTCGCATTTCTTAGTTTCCTCGTCACTTTGTTTTTAACCAGTTTAAAAGCAGACCAATCTTGCTCATTTTGTGTTCTCCTGGCCCTCTTTAGAAGATTATCGCGTTTATTTATTTCGTTGTATAGATCATTAGTGAACCATTTCGGCTGATTGATTTTCTTCACACTCTTGGACTTTAAAGGTGCGTGATTATCAAGAATGTCATTAAAGATTTTGTACCAAGATTCAACAATGTCATCGGCATCTCGAAAAACAAAGGAGATATCCCAAGGGGCTTCTCTTAGGTCTCGCAGAAAGCACTCTTTGTTGATTTTGTCGATATTTCTGTATTTGATTTTGGAATGTTGTTTACGTTGTGCATCCATGGTTTTGTAGCACCTCAAGATGGTGACCGGAAGGTGATCGGAAAGTCCAGATTTACCTATGGATACTTCTCTAATTCTAGCAGGATGACT